TTCACTGGGGAGATGGAAGTGAATGTGAGGAGACTAGAGGCAAAGAGAGTGGTAGGCAGTGCCCTCTTCTCCTTAAGCAGAAGCCATGGTTTCAGCAATGCCCAAGGCACAACCGTGCTGCTTTGTGATTGAGACACAGCAAGTGGAGTCAGAGAAAGTGACCAAGAAAGAGCCTCATCACAGCAGAATAGGGAATTTAAACCTTACAGTGCAATTGTGAGCATTCGGTGACACTGTGACTGTGAGACCTCGGAGGGACATTATTATTGTGGATGTCTTTAAACCCTTGGGGCCCTTGGCAGTCACTCAGCAAACTACCACACTTCACATGTGGGAAACTGAGGATCAGAGAAAGAGCCATTTAGTAAGTGACACAACCAGAACTAATCCAGGTCTTCCATTTCCCACGGGTTTACTTGAAATAAACACAGATATCACTGAAGACGTTGGAAGTGTGAAAGGGTTGTGCTAAAGGAAAGAGGCCTTGTTCAAAGTCAAGAGGGAAGGTGCTCACTCATCACTTGTTTCTTACGTATGCCTGGTAAGGGTGAGAAGAGGGAGACAGAAAGGCTTTGCCGGAGATGTGAGAGATGTGCAGACTGGATGGAAAGGAAGGTGGGAGAGATGGGAGAGTCCCTGGAATGAGTTACACTGGAGACACCAGAGGAGTAGAGGGAAAACAGGAGCCCAGGGTGATAGTAAGCAGCACATGAGGGCCCATCGGGGTGTGCCAGGAGACTCTCCTGTACCTGTCCCCACAAAATGTTTAGTAGAGTCTATCGCTCACTGGTGCTTTACCGAGTTGGCTTTTCCCTTCTGGAAGGTACAAAACAAATGTGTGGATAGAAGGAGAGCATCCCCATAGAATCAGTCACCGTGGGGTCACACCTGTATCCTCAGTAGTCAACCTTGTGGCTTCAGAGGCTCTTGCTTTCCCAGGACTCTGGAGCCTGGCGTGTCATAGCCCCACAACAAATGGCTGTGGAATGAGTAGATTTATGCACTGTCTGTAATAGCAGGAGGCTGGTGAGCAATTGCTCCCCACTACGCTCAGCCTTCCTCCACCTCCCCAGGAACGCAGATGACTTTAAGATCAGCTAGGGCTTTGGGCAAAGGTTCAGCTGGACTTGTTCATTCCTCTCTGATCTGCTTTGATTGTCCCCGGTCAGGATTGCAGCCAGCCTGAAACAAACACACAACCAAATAGAAAAACAGAAGAATGAAATAACAGCAGCATGTTCCTCTAAAGCCCTGTCTAGTGCTGATAGAGCTGACCAGATAAGAGCAAATCGTATTTAAGCAATAAGAAGGCTTTGTTCATGTTGGCGAATTCTCTGACCGTGAATGCTTTCGATGCAGAGATAAGACCCCCGGCCTCCGCTCAGAGATGTGCTCTGTCACAGTCTGCCGGGAGACCAGCAGCTAAGAACACAAGGGGAAAGCATTCCGAAATGATACATGTCGAATTGCTGGCCTGGATTTCAAATGCCATAGATAGTTTATGCAAAGTCTAGCACTGTTGTAAAGTGTAACAGAATCCACGGGCAGCTCTGCCAAAGCCTGGTCCCAGTTGTTTTTTAGAAAAATAAATAAACTTGAAAACGTCTTCCAACCCATTAGAGCGGCTGTGTTTTTATCCTTAGCCTCCTCAGCGTTAGGCTTCTAGAGAGCTGAACAACTGAATCTGCGCCCAATTCCTAGACAATGGGAGAGCTGATTCTTGGCATCTTCAGTGCTCCTTGAGAAGTTGCCTCTTCTATAATATTGTACCCCCAGATCTACTGCTTCCTACAGCCAGTATGAGGGCAACTTTGGCAATTAATGAGTTTTAATACTTTTGATTTAGAAAAGAGCAAAGAAGCTCTTTTCTAAAATGAAATATTAGAAGGAAGCTCAATAACTACATGAAGGAGCAGAGTTGTTCTGGTTGTAACAGTAAAGTGGAAACTACAGAGACTGCCTTACACCCTAGCCCTCAGCCAACATCTCCATGTACCCTACGCTCCATGGAAGATACCTTGACAATCCCTGGCTAATCCAACATTCAAACATGAGTGATGAACTGAGATGCATCTTGCCCATAATTATGCTTCACGGTTTAAGCAAGAATGAGGCAGACTCATATCTCCTTCATCCAAAGCTGCTCACTACTAGAAAACTCTCCCTAGGTACGTTTGGTCATGTTCCACAGTTGGCTAAGCAATTTATCTTCCTCTCTTGGAGGTATCAAAAATGAATTGATGAAGAGGCTCAAGATGAAGAGAAACTGGGTGAAGGGTATATGGTGTTTTCTGTATTTCTTTTGCAACTTTACTATAATTATAAAATTAGTCAAAATACAGTTTATCCAAAAATGGAAGCGTTGGTGCTTGCAATGATAGTTCATGTTGAAGCAATATATGTATTGTAGTTGGACATTATTAAGTATCACACAGTTGTAAGAAAATAGTCACTTGGTGTCTTCTGAGAGGTCCTAAAAGCCAGAATACTGCCAAGAAGGGATGGAGAGAGGAGTGAATGTACAGACTGGATACTCAGCATGTTGGTGATCTCAAAAGCAAAAACATATGGTTGTCACAAGGTTTTTGGTTTTTTTTTTTTTTGGTACTGGGAATTGAGCTCAGGACCTCACACTTGCTGGGCAGGTGCTGTAACCCTGAGCTAAATCCCTGACCCTGCCTCTTACAGAAGGTTCAGACTTAGTCCAGTTCATTGCAGCTTATTGTATAGGAAAACATTGTTAGGGGAACTGGTGCTTTTATATCTATATTTAATGGCTTTATGAGTCAATAGTTTAGATTTGGGGTTTGTTTCCTTGTTTGTTTGTTTGTCTGAAGAGACAGTCTTACTATATTGCCCAAGCTGGCTTCAAACTCTTCGGCTCAGGTGGTCCTCCTGCCTCAATCTTCCAGTACCTGTGACTAATACATATGCAATATCAAGCCTGATCTGGAGGAAATTTTTTTTCTATTCATAAAATTACATGGAGTAATGTAAACTAAAGCATCCATGTTTACAAGGTATATGCATTATATAACAAGTCCATTCGCTACCTGCACTTGACAAAATGCAGATTTTATCATACTGTGTCTAGCTCATTTTTTAGGAAAAATAGCACACTGCAGGTAAACTTAAATCTCAGTTGTTCCCAATGCCTAGTACCATTCCCCTTCCTTGATATACACAGGCAATTACCACCCTGAATCTGATGTGTACTTTTCTATGGCATTCATATGAATCCCTGGGCATAGATATAATTTTCATTGTGTAATTTTTATAAATGACATTACAATGAGCATTTCCATTTACACTTTTTTTTTTTTTTTTTTTTTTTACTCAATTCCAAATCTTTGCCATCTCTCCAGGGTGGTGTCTTTGAATAAACAGTAGGCCTCCCATCTTGGCTGTCTAAGACTCATGCTAAACCCAAAATTCAATGCCTTAGTGTCATTTCTGTATATAAATCAGTTAAGTGATATTAGTATTGTTTTGCCCTATGTAATTCTATCAGTTGGGTACCTCACTTTATACATTGCTTCTCCAGTATCTTTAGTATCATTTCTGTACTGAATCTGCTTAAGTCCCCTTAATATTAGTTTTCCCTGTTTAATTCTCCAGGTCACAATCTATTCACCTAAAAAGTAAGGTGGACCTAGAAAGTTCTAGGGTCTCATAAACTATGAAAATACTCACTGAGACAATGTTTTCAAACAGACTGAACAAATATACAAAACAAATAAAAACAAGAAAAGTAAGTAAAATGAAAAATTATAAGGATCAAGAATGTTCATTCTTGAATATATATATATCAGATATATCCAGATATATC